AATTGGACAGAACCCGGCAATAAAGTTAGAATTTTTCAGGTATTTACACCTGATTAAGTACTGAAAATTAATTTTTTGTACAAAAAGTAAACACCTAGGTTGACACAACTACGACATAACCTCACAATCGCAAATGAATCTCTCTCGTCGGTCTAAATACTCCGAGCAAACAGATTACAAGTTTTCAGTTGAATAATTCACTGTTTTGTGATAATGATTCTTTGACAATCAGTTGTTTGGCCGGAACTTAATGTAGGCCAATAGGTATCGTGTATTTGCCTATCTTCGTTATTTTCATGAATTGCGTCCTGTATTTGTCAGATGTCAACTGTTCAAAGCAAACACGCAGGTTGAAATTATATACAATTATATATGTATGCATTTATTAAATATAATTTAACTATCGATACATGGGTAGTTCATTTCAAAACAACACGTTATTTATTTAATAGATTTGAATAAATAAATCCACACAATAGTGTGAATTCTACATTTCCTTTTGCATATACGGGAATTGTATTTAAATGTAAAACAGCCCCCGAATGCAAGCGAGTACGTTTTACAATGACCCCCTGCTTTTGTGTGTTCATGTTTGCCTAATGTCCAAAGGCTCCTCTGCTGGCGACATAAATAGTTGAAATGAAATATGATTGATCACATATACCTATTTTATTGTTTGCTTGTATTGTATTTTATTGTTTGCTTGTAATGTACTTTTCGTATGACCAGAGAATGTTTTCCAATTTAAAATATTTCTTATTGTGAGAGAAAGTCCAGTGCGAACTAAATGAGGTTTACTCAATTTTATGTTTAATAAATAATCAAAGCAATCACACCAAACCTGGCGGATCAAGTAAATAACGTTATAACAACAACACGAATGAGAAAAGTCTCAAAATTAGTTTTTTTTGTACACAGGTATTTGAACCTGTTGGGAACAGTGTAGTGTAAGCAATTTGATTTAAATTTTAATTCTGAAAGAACCCTGCCCAAAGTATACGGAAATTGTGTTCATGTCAGAATTGGCTGAATTTTGTATGTAATGTAGATCACGCCTTTCTGATTCAAAATTACGATTGCACCAATCCTGAAAAATTACTATATGTAGCACACCACTGTGCCACAAGCTTACTTATTTGTGTTACATTGTATGTACTTGAACAATAGCTTATTATATAAAGTCAGAATTTGTAAGATTATCCACTTCTTGTCAATTTGCCTTTCAACAGGAATTAGTAATGTTACTTTACCAAAATAGTAACATAATGTGACAAGTTATTCAAGTACAAACGAGTGGATTGTTGCGGAATTTATTGGTGGACAGTCATCTATTCATTAATACGTTGTTCAAGTACGATACTAACCTGACTCACTCAAATGTCAGTTATTCTCATTAGTTCAAAAACTACACGTTTCAGGTGAGTGTCTTATTTGAATAGTTCAACAGTGTATTCGTGAGTAGATGGCCACCCATAAGCTCTGCAATAATCCACTTATTTGTACTTGAACAATAACTTATTATATAAAGTCAAAATTTTTAAGATTATTATTATTCACTTTTTGTCAATTTGCCTTTCAATAGGAATTAGTAATGTTACTTTACCAAACTAGTAACATAATGTGACAAGTTATTCCAGCGAGTTCCGCAGTCATCTATTCATCAATATGTTGTTTAATTACGATACTAAACTGACTCACTCAAATGTGCGTTATTCTCATTAGTTTAAAAATTACACGTTTCAGGTGAATGTCTTACTTGAACAGTTCAACAGTATATTGGTAATTAGATGGCTGCGGAACTCGCTGCGCTCGTCCCGCAGAGGTTTATTCATAAGTTCCGCAATAATCCACTTATTTGTACTTGAACAATAACTTATTATATAAACTCAGAATTTGTAAGTTTATCCACTTTTTGTTAATTCGTCTTTCAACAGGAATTAGTAATTACACAGTGTGGTTTTCGTCCAGGAATATGTTAATGAAAAGTCGGTTTTCGGCTTATTTGGACTCGATCTTGGGAGAAACTGGCAGATCTGGAAAACCAAAGGACGTTCCTGCTAAGATGCCGTGATGAAGCCTTGAGAATGATGCGGAATGCGTCGAAACGTTGGCTGTTGATTTAGATATTTCATTAAATAAAGTCCAAATAAGCCGAAAACCGACTTTTCATTAACATATTCCTGGACGAAAACCACACTGTGTAATCCTACTTCTGGCTTGGAAAATGACAATGGGTTTCTTCGAAGAAATAAGAGTACAATACGGACAGGATACCACAGAGGTCCTGAAGGATTGGACTCGATCTTGGGAGAAACTGGCAGATCTGGAAAACCAAAGGACGTTCCTGCTAAGATGCCGTGATGAAGCCTTGAGAATGATGCGGAATGCGTCGAAACGTTGGCTGTTGATATGGAATTAGTAATGTTACTTTACCAAACTAGTAATATATTGTGACAAGTTATTCAAGTACAAACGAGTGGATCGTTGCGGAACTTATGGGTAGACCCAGCCATCTATTCACCAATATGTTGTTCACATACTAACCTGATTCACTCAGTTGTGAATTTTTCTCATTAGTTCAAAAACTACACGTTTCAGGTGAGTGTCTTATTTGAACAATTCAACAGTATATTGGTGAGTAGATGGTCCACCCATAAGTTCCGCAATAATCCACGTATTTGTATGTACGTTCATTACAATGTCCAAGCGTTTTACTTGCTACCTATAAAATTAATTTTCTCAAAAAGAAATCATTTTTCAGGATCGGTGCAATAGTAACTTTTAATCAGGAAGGCGTGATCTACATTATTGTATACAAAATTCAGCTAATAGACTCTTGCACTCAATCAAACTTAGGTATATAATTTATCTGTAACGAAAGCGTATTTTATGTACTACATAACAGTATGGTTGGTTAATTTTTTTAAAAATCTTGAAGCCAGAAATTGAAAGAAAAAAAAGCAGATTATTTGAATTTTGCGCTATATTTTTCCACCAATCAAAAATTACTGATTGTCAAATTTCCATGTTCCAAACGAATATTTTTTTTTTCTTTTTGAACACATCGGACAAAAACGGAGGCATATATTTATCAAAATCGCTTTTTTGCGTATCGACTTTGGTACAGCTCTACTTTTGACTTGAAGCTTGAAAGAGGAGAACGACATCTACGAAAACGATAAAAGCGATTTTTGTTTACCATAGGTCAGTGACCCCTGGCTGGCCAATTTATACCTATCATCACTAAATAAACTAATTAACAACAAAAAATAGTAGGCTGGGGCAGTATAATTTGAAGAAAAAAGAAAAATGATGTTTTTCCCTGGGAAAATTTGAAAAGGTTTTTAGGGAAACTGGAAGGTATGGAATACAGACACATAAAAATTATACTCGTGTTTTATTTCCCATAAACCACTAAGAAAAATAATCCCAATTATCTTTAAAAAAAAACAGACTTTAGGTACTCGGTAGATAGGTATTAGTAAAATGCAGGTGGAGTAGAGCAACCTTCTACAAATAATGATTTCCTTATATGCTTGTTAGGTAGAAACCTCTAAAATTTAGAAGCACACACTAGTAAATGAGTACCTAAGCTAAGGTATTCAATTATGAACGACATAATGGCCTTATGCTCGGGTTTATTGGTTGTTTCTTGATGGTTTGTGTGCCTTTTGTCTGTTTTGGAGAGGCTAATAATAAATAAATAAATATAAATAATGATTATAATAAATGAATTGAAAAGTTGGGTTAAGTTTTCCATAGGGATGAGAATCGATTCCATATCCGATACTTACAAATCTGTGAATTCGATATATCGATTTAGTTGTCGCCCCCCGTAAAAGTTTACATGAAATTCTTGACATCTGGGCAACACTGAATAAAATTGATCAATCAGAAATTTGCTGCCGTGGCGTCACGGCACCAAGAAATTTGAACTTCAAATCGAAATTTAGAGCCTTTGCAAGTCCGAAAAAAATCGGAAAAAAATACAGTTGAGCCACGGCATCAAGAAATTTGAACTTCAAATCGAAATTTAGAGCCTTTGCAAGTCCGAAAAAAATCGGAAAAAAATACAGTTGAGCTTTATTTTGACTCCTCTTTCCAATGAGCAAATAAAAAAAAATTCATGCAAGAGGTCCATTCTGACATAAACACAATCTCCGTATACTTTGAGCAGGGTCCTTTGGAAAAAATATACCTTTTTTCGTATTTTTTGAAAAAATATCTTGAAGTTGGCAAACGTTTCTTTGGGCAGACAACCAGTATCTCAATTGTGGTAGATAAAATCCTTACAACTATCAAATGCCAAAGTTCGAGCTTCCTGAACATTTGTTTCAATTTAACCATTATAGATTTCACACGTGTCCTGGCGAATATGTAATCTAATTGTTTGGCCCCTTTTATAATATAAATTTATATAATTTAACATCGGTCGACACTAATGTAAACATTTTCCCAACGTATTTTAATATTTTAATTAAACAGTTTCTATCCATTTAAAAACGTTTCCACATTTACTTTAACCATTTACTCAGTTATTTTTAGCTACGATATTGTTCTAGACAGCTTCCCAGACTGAGCCGCGTCCCACACTTTTTTTTCATCATTTCAAGTGCCCAACTGCATAATCATTTAACAGCAATTTGTTATTATAATGTGGCGTTGTAAATAAAGTAGTGCGCCTACGCATATAAAAAGCATCTACGGCCCCAGCGGCCCTATAATTTTAGCTCGTGTCGACCTTTGGTTTGGTTTTTTATGTTTTATTTTATGCAAATTTTCATTGTGTGTTTTTGAATGTCGTATAGAGTGCTGTTTGCGTGTATAATTCACGAAATTCTTCATTTTTACAAGTAAGTACAACTAAAACGTTGCTGACTCTGACTGAACTGACTCGAGGTCAATAAGCCCAGATTGAGAATAATGAATCGAATACTGGTTTGCTCTAGAATTTGTGATCATGAATAGAATGGCAATCTGTACTTTTTTCTCTTTTATAGTGAATAAACTGATAAATGGATCTCCTAATTGGAGCTTATTCTGCTCTTTCGATGGTAACCAATCACCATCTGTATCTGGAAGCGACATACTTATACACAGGTGTCCTGGAGTCAATGTTGCTGAATTATCTGGATCATTTGATATCTGATGGACACAGTGGTCGAGAATTGATGCAATCTTTCATGGTCAATTAGTCATATCTGCGATAATGATTGTGTGTCGCCAATAATTTGTTTCATAGTTCAATGACTAGACGCCTGCTTCCATATTCCCTCAAAGTCTAGACAATCTTGTGCATTTCATTCTAGATTTATTACTGGTTTTCGTTGTCGCTGTATTGATACGTCATCTTCCCATTCAATAATTCCTTTGTCCTCTTCACTTTTGAGCAGTAAGAAACAACTCCAGTCATGTGCTTGAGTGAAGACAATCGCCCTGATCTCCATTGGCTTGAGTTATAATCGACCCATGATTGCACATTCCGACTTCATCGATGGTGACTGATAACTCGTCGTTCGGAGTATTTGTTAATACTTTTAACCACTACATTTTGTTGTTGCTGCGATTCGGTTGGTCTCGAGACTGACTTCTTCACCTGGACGGATCTCCCTTCAATACTGCTAGTGCTATTGAAGAGTTAGTCCAGGAGTGGTCAGGAGCATCTTGTAGTCACAAAGATGAAGATGTTGTTTGTATCAGGGTGGGTAGAAACGCAGCAGCAAACAGTCTAAGTGACGTAGTTTTCATTCTTGTTGGAGCTACTTTGGATTTGGACGTTATCAGAACTATTTTTGTGTCACCCATAGAATTTTCCACTTTCATGCAGAGTGATGGTTTGTACGCTATTTCGGTGGCATTGTATGACCCATGTGGCTGCTTCTGATCTGATAAGTCTATTTGTTCTCCATGGGGAGTGTACAGAATAGTAAAGTTTTTGCTGCTTTAGCTCTCCGTTAAAAAATTTAGCTCTAGCAACTACTGGGGCAAGCCATCCTGATAGGTGAAATAGCTCACCAACATCTGATCGTGAGCTTCTTTTGGTGATGTTGTCACTGGCCGTTATTTCTATCTTGCATCTGAAGGAACCCAATGATTGGTACCGTCTTCAGTGATTTCTAGTACCTATTGGTTTTTCCTTCAGTTTATCTTGTAGTTCATATCTAAACATTTATCGATTCCATTGCGATAATATATATCGGACTAAAGCTCTAATCCGTTACCAACGCTGGATTTAAATTGCTAGAAACGCTACATTATTCACTCTCTGTGCGTCGGAACCCCGGTTCATTGCCAATGGAAATGGAAAACATCATGCATAATCTCGAAAACCGCGCGTCAGATTCCGATTTATTATGATCAAATATTGGATTTTGCGGCTCGTATATTTTGTTTTTGTAATTGGCCGTCAAACACGCGTTGCGCCCCTAAATTTCAGGGATGATCGATCGGACATGAGAAAAAAATGCGTGCGGAAACCAATACGGAAGTCTAAACACAAATAATAACACGTGTTTTATGATTTATTCTTTAAAATATTTCAATTGGGTTTTCATTTCTTTCAACACCGTTTTTTATCACTTCCAGTAAATCTGTTTAAAAAAAAAATTGGAGGCACGTGACTTAATTAACTTTATGCCAAAACCTTAAATAAACGACAAAGTATATTGTGCAACTATTGAGTTTTCATAGGTCAAAGAAATGTCTGGCATGTATCCAGTTTATGATGGTATTGGCCCATATTGTTTCATTACTTAGCCAGAGAAATGTAATGTTGAAGAAAAAACTACCGCATGTAAAGGGTGTTTCGATAATTTGAGCAAAAATGGCATGTGATGTTCAAAGCGAGACAAGTTTTTTTTTCCATTGATATGCCAACTATTGCTACAATTTCTGCATTGATTTTGAGCATGGTTTTGTTGATTATTGTTGTTTTTGTTCGTGTTAAATGATCTATTTTTGTTATTTGTTTGGTTACTGTTAGTTAGGTTTATTCTGTTGACACCGATTCCACATCTTTCCAGTTTTGTTGAGTTTGTGCCCTGTATTATTTGCGATTTAATTTCCCCCTCTCTGTCTACAAAACCACAATTGGAACTTAATTTGAGTACCTAACCTTGCATAATACTCATCGATTGTTTCAGTCTTACCTTGCTTGGACTGGCGGAAATTATAGATCTCAAACTCTACATTGATTTGTGGAGAAAAATGGGTGTTTACTTTTAATTTTGCAATATCATACTTCCAGCGCATTATAGGGGTGTTCTTAACAGGGTTAAACTGTGGTGGTGATTCTGGCAAAGAGCCAAAAATATCGAAAACTTCCTCTCCCATGCAATGCAATAACATAACTTCTTTTCTGTCATCGTTTGTGATGCCGTATGCGATTAGAAAATTATCAAATCTTCTCACCCATTTCTGCCATCTAAGCCCTACGTCTGTTGCGTGGACGTTGAAAATCTCAATACTTCCCAGCGTGTTTTCCATTTCAAAAGTGAGGTTTTTTTCCTCGTCGCCAATTTGAACTATTTGTTTGTTGTCAAACAAGGTGTTATGGTTGAGTATAATCAACATCCTTGATTGACATCACTGACTGACACTACTTCTCATCACACAACCTAACTACAGTTAGTGCCATCTATGAGCTAATCGAATAATAACAAATACAGGATACTACAGTGTTCAAACTACTTGAAACGAAAGGTTAGTCGTCACTCAATTTGTTCCGTTCATGGTACATCTTAGGTAGTATAAACTTTGTTTTTTGTGAGGGGACTAGTATAATGTGATAATATACTTTAAGTTCGTAAAGCAAGTGGTAAAGCAATTAGGTATGCACCCTATGGAGGTCATTACTACAAATTCCATTTTCATTTCTTGCGCAAATATACAACAGCGGTAATCGTATTTCTTCTACTGGAGTGTCAAAATCAAAAGGCGAAAGCGGCCATGGAAAGGGTTAATTAAATTTGCCCTAATTTAAAGTTACCGGACTCCCTTTAATTCTAAGCTGCTTTTGATAGTTAATAATTTTGGTTCGTTCTAACTTATGAGTGTTTTAATATCCATTCAGGTTATTAAACGTAGTAAAAAATTTTAGGAGAGACTTTTCACTCTTCGTTTATTCATTAAAAGCATTTTTATTACCTTGAAATGTCCAGCCTTAAGCTAAAATTTAATTTAACATCCACCACTTAAAAGGGGTTATATTTTATATCCGGTCGATGATTCCTATAATACTTCAGAGACCCTCAATATCTTAAGTGAACGAATCGCCATAACCGTTACATTTTGGTTACGCTTAGGTCGTAAATTTTTACTCTTTATTGAATTAGTCGACGCACGAATGCACAATAAAATTCGACCACGTCAACCATGTTGGCAAATAAATCTGGTGCTATTGAGAAATGCGGTCGCTGAATTTGATAAATATTACCCATTAAATGTTGAGTTTTAGATTTAGTTTAATTAGATAAAATAAATATTTCAGGATTGTATTGAAAAATAAGTCATGGGTTAGTTGAATTGGGACTGAAAAAACATGGCTGTAACCCAATATGTGTGACAACGAAGTAAAACGTAATTTTTAATAATATCGAAAGGTATTCATGGTTTATTCCATGAATATATCAGAAAATAACACTTATACAACCTAATAAAGTCATTACCGATAATGCAATCACCGAACTAATCTGGAAACTAATTAAAATTCAAACTAAAACCATAATAATATAAGATGCTTGAAATTTCCATAATATGTACACAGTTTGTCAATTAAACTCCAGAACAAGTAAACTCAGCTCTAATAATTGTAGACCGGCATAACGGTCAACTGGTCAAATTTTAGCACATCAATAGAACTTGCTCCAAGTTTACTGTAGAATAAGACATATAGCAACTGCATCAAATGCTGTCGGGCAAACTGAACAGAACGACTTTATCAGCGCCTTTATGACTGTAGGAAATTAAACGATAATGGGCTCTAGCTTGGAATCTTAAATGAGGGACTAAACTCTGTCCAACGAACCTACGGAGTATGACAGAGTCAAAATGGCGGCCAGGTTTACAGTGAACACTGAATAATGCCATTCATTTATTTCAAAAGCTTACAAAACATCACTCTACAGTGTAAAGCGGTCTGATAAATGACCAATAGTAACGAACCTTTTTGAAGGTTTTGTTGTTTGTCACTCCGGAGGTTGGTTGGACAGAGTATAGTTCAGGTATATTTTTGCCAAAAAAAAAATATCTACGAGCTTAAATGAGTTTTCTTTAAGGCACTTCAGGCAAGTATAAGGGACATGACAGGATATGAGCATTTTCTACCAATCAAATTTAAGAAGACTCCATCGACAAAGCACGAACAGCTGTTCCGGTGGCCGCTGGCTTAAAGCTGAATTAAATGTATTACAAATTTTCACTGCAGACAATGAGTGGCAACACTGTCAAAATTCAAGTTGTGACGTGGTGCAGATAAATTCCGTGTGTTTATTTGGAGAGTCTTCTTCTCGTTTTCCTTAAGTAAGAGTGCAGGAAATTCTATTTTCAGTTGCTTTTGCACGGAGAACAAATATTACACATACACAAAATTATTCGTGAAAAACAACATCAAAACGCAAACCACAACACAACTTATTAAAAAATTATGCGGCTGTTCAAAAAACAACGTCAACAAAAAAAAAAACATTAAAAAGTAGAAAACACCCATCCAAGAGTACGGTATATTGAGCCAAAAAATTTACTTCTATGCCAGCGAGCGCAATGTTTCCATTAAAACTGTAGGTTTGTTTTTTGGGGGATGCAAGGATTGCTTTTAAACAGGGAAATTTGAATAAAAATATCATTCACCAAACGTAACTCCGTGAAGGTTCCTGAATACCATTTGAAGGGCAGGCTCCTTTGTTTAAATATTATTTTAACAAAACAGATGTTTGTAGTAAAATAATAATTAAAGTTTCTAAAAACTATACAAAATCAATTCACCAATTTTGTCGAAATCCGTAATTAGTAATTTAAAGTAAATGACCACGTTTTGTTGGAAACCTCATTTATGTTAATATAATAGTTGTCGACCTATTTAAATATTTAATTTTCAATCTGGCCCAAAATGTTAATTGGAGCTATTGTAATTATCAACCGATGTGACTTGTC